GGCCCCCACACATCAGAGTGCACAATATTAAAAGGAAAAGAAGATCTTTTATTGCTCAAAGGATAATTGTTTCTACAATGCTTTGATAACTCACAAGACTCACAATGAAGACTGAACAAACTAATTCCCTTAAACAGTTCAGGGAATAGATGACTCAAGGCAGAAAAAGACAGATGCCCCAAACGACGATGACACAACATAATCCGACTAATAGACTCTGAAGAAACAGACCCAAAAGCAACATTCCCAAGATGATCAGTGCATTGTCCCAGAGTATCAAGCAGGTATATTCCGTTCACCTCATGGCCACTCCCAATCACCTTCTGAGACTCCAGATCCTGAAAAACATAGTAAGAAGGAAAGAAGGTTACACAACAGTTTAGTGACTTGGTTAAACTACTTACAGACAACAAATTTGTATTTAGTCTAGGTACATGAAGGGCAGAAGGTAGGAACAAGGAATCTGTAGCCTTGATGGTTCCCTTGCCAGAAATAGGGGCAAGTGAACCATCAGCTAAAGTGATTTTATCACGTCCAGGAAGCAAGTCATATGAAACAAATAAGGTAGAAAGGTTGGTCATATGATCAGAATCACCTGAGTCAATAATCCAAGGGATCTTAAGATTACCTAAAGTGGTTACATGATTGGCAGAAGCCCTTATACCTGAATGAGCAAATGCAGAAGAAGCTGAATTTCCTAAAGGGTTGGAAGAAGAAGTCACATCCTCTAGATGACTAATCATCTTCCCAAACTTTTCATATTCTGCTTTCATGGCTGCCAGTTGTGCACAAGCAAACATCTCTTCAGTATAGTACTTATCACTATCTGGCCCAACAACCACATTTGCACTCAGTCCTTTTATTATCATGTTTTTTCTGAAACCGAATGGGAACAAGATCAGGATGTAATTTCCAGCACTTGTCTTTGGTGTGCTTCAGCTTCTTGCAGTACTCACATACAACTTCTTTCTTTCCTGAGCCACTAGATGTCCCAGTAACACCTTTGGGTTTAACCCCCATATTCGCAAAGTGATCACTAATACCAGCCCCTTGAACCTGGACAACCCTTCTGCTCTCTTCACTGCTCACCAAAGCATAAGCTTGTGACAATGAGACACTCTCCTTGGAAAGAATATTCTGTTTTGTGATATCATATTTTGGGTTTAGTTCGGTTAAGAACTCAAACACCCTGTTCCTTTCAACTAGTTTTCTATAGGTCTCTGCATCATTGGTGGTGTCCCAAGTTACAGCTTCTATTAGGTCAATTTCTTGCCACAGAGACTTCAAAGTTGAGAAGTATACAGCTAAAGGTTTCTCCCCTTGCCTTAAATTCTTCACATCACTTCTCAATTTATAGGCTCTAACCACATTTAGTTTTTGGGAATAGGTTTCTGCAACACTGTCCCAAATTTCCTTTGCTGAATTCATCCATAGGTAGTGTTGGCTAATTTGTGGCTGCATTGAGTTCACAAGCCANATTTGTGGCTGCATTGAGTTCACAAGCCACCCAATGACAGTGTAATTTTCTTGCATCCACTTCTCGTAGGATGGATCATCTTTTGGGGGAGCCTTCTTGCTCTCGGAAATAAACCCCCACTTTCCTCTACTACATATATAACTCTTTACCGATTGTGACCATGCCAGATAATTAGTTCCATCTAGTTTAACTGTGGTCACAGTCAATAAAGAATCACTTGGAGTCCCCTGAACCTGTCCATATTCAACACCATTCTTGTTTTCAAACTCTGAGGAGTTCATCATGTAAATACTTCAAATATGATTTCAGATGACTTCAACAAGTGTACTGAATGAGGATGAGCAAGGACTGAGTTCAACCAACCTCAAGACAACAATACACAAGGCCAAGCTACACTCGAAAGTTGTAAGAACCAAGACTGAAGCAGAACCTTGGTTCGGCCAAGGTAATCACCAAAAAGTAGCCAAGAAGAGTAAATACCAGTCCGTATTGATGAAGAGGCCTTTTTACAAACACAGTGTGGGCAATAGAGAAGACCCCACTGTCAAAGGTGAAAAAAAACATCAAGAACAGTCCGTACAGGCCCCCAAAACATAGCCAAAAAGAAGCAACAATTCGCAGCACTGAATCCAAGGATGTTTCGGCAGTTTTGACAGTCCAAAGAGGAGTGAAAACAACCCAGAAATCTCTGGGTTAAACCAGATTAAAAGACAGCCGAATAGCTATACAAAAAACAACCCAGAAATTTCCGACACTTCAACAGTCCAAACACAGAAAAAATAACCCAGAAATCTGAGCACAACTAACAATATTTAAGCTTCAAATCAGAAACCGAGCTGTTTCCCTTTTTTTTTTCTCTGATTCTTCCTGGCCACCGAACCACATCTCCAAGAGATTTGAGTCTTGGGCACCTTCCAATGACCTCTAAGAATCAGGCAACACGAGCTGAAGCTTCCGGCCCTAGAATACTGAAGTTCAGGCCTACTCTGATACCATGAAGAAAACTGAAGAAAACAGACCTTGAGAGTTCGACAATGAGGGTTTTGAGAGTGAGAGTTTCGAACATTACTCTCTCTCAACACCCTAACACTATTTTATTAAGATAAATTTGAATAATTACAAGGAGGCCCTTAGTTGGCAAGAAATTACAAAGAACATAACATAGAAAGGATGGGCCCGGAATAAGGCCCATTACAGAAAAGAACATAAACAGTAAGAAAGAATAAACAGCCTATGGGCCATTCGGCCCATATTCTCTACAGTGTTCAAACAAGTGACTAATCTCAAAGTGAATTTAGATAAGAGTTGTGTGATTGGCATTAATTTGAGTGAAAGTGAAGTGGAGGATAGGGCCCGAATTTTGGGTTGTGAGATTGCTCAATGGCCATTGATCTATTTGGGGCTGCCACTAGGGGATAACCCAAGCAAAAAGAGTTTATGGAATCTGGTGATTGATAAGTTCATTAAGTCAACATTGGCCAACCTGCCTGTTTACTTTCTATCGGTGTTTAAAAATGCCTGAGGGAATATGTGGGACTTTGGAAAAGTTAATGAGAGAATTCTTATGGGAACCGGGAGAGGAGAAAAGGGACCATAGAGTCAGGTGGGATATAGTTACCAAAACCAAAAGTGATGGTGGGCTTGCTTTAGGTAATTTGTAGAAAAAGAATGAAGCTCTATTGGGGAAATGGCTTTGGAGATTGACTTTGGAGAGGGATAAATTGTGGGCTCAAGTTGTCTTAAGTATTCATGGGCAAGTGATGGATGGCTAGGACACGGGAGTATCAGCTAGGGCTACAAGAGCTTCTCCTTGGAAATCCATTCATGCCATACTTCCTTCTTTCCTTCCTCTAATTAGGTATGACCTGTGCTCTAGTAACCTTGTGAAATTTTGGGATCATGTTTGGGTGGGAAACACTCCATTGAAAGAGCTATTCCCTTCTTTGTATTCTCTATCACATTTTAAAAATGAGCCAATCTCCACTTTTCTGACCACTTCTAATTCAACTATTGACGGGAACTTGGGTTTTAGAAGGGCCCTTAGAGACTTTGAACTAAACCTTATTTCTGACCTGCTCAAAATCCTAGATGAGGTGGGTATTGACCCCACTAGGAGGGATAGTAGGATTTGGGTCCCTTCTCCTTTGGGTGTCTTCTCATGCTCTTCATTCTTCAAAGAATTGGCTCATTCCCCACCTGTTATTGGACTCCCCTTCCCAGTTTGGAAGTTTGGGGTAGACCAATCCCTCCCAGAATTAGTGCTTTTTGTTGGAAAGCCTTCCTAGAAAAGTGTAACACTTGCGACCTATTTCAAAGAAAAAGGCCTAATTGGTGTTTATCCCCGCACTGGTGCATCCTTTGTAAGAAGAATGGTGAGACTTGTCATCACTTACTGGTATCCTGCCCATTTGTTTCAAAGATTTGGTGTTGGTTCTTCTCTCTTTTTGGTTGTAGGTGGACCCCCCCCCCCCTCAAATGTACAAAGCCTATTCCATTCTACTTCTGTTAGGGGGCTGAAGAAGGGAACATTCTGTGGAGATGTGTAAGAGCAGCTATATGTTGGACAGTCTGGGAGGAAAGGAATCAAAGGACTTTTCATGGGAAAGAAAGAAAAAAGGGTGCCATCATTGAATTAATTTCTATAAGGGTGGTTCATTGGGCTAAGACTTTGAAGCTCTTTGAAAATTATTCAGAAGGAGAACATCATCAGGAAGTGGAAAGAAGTGGCTTGGTCAGCTCCAAGGAAGATTTCATCTAACCCAATTTGGTCTCCTCCAGCTTTGAGGTTCACTAAACTGAACTTTGATGGTAGTAGCAAAGGAAATCTAGGCCCGTCGGGTATAGAGGGAGTTTTCAGGGATGGAGAAGGTCGAATTATTGCATTGTATTCTGGTTCTATTGGATGGGGAGATTCTATTAGAGCTGAAATATTGGTTGTTTTGGAAGGGTTAAAAAGAGCCCAAGAGTTAAATATCAGAAAACTGATGGTGGAAGGTGATTCTAAGTTGGCTACCATCTGATGAAAGACGATTTTAGTTTGTGGAAATTTCTAAATGAGAAAAAAAAAGTTAGACAGCTCATTCAAAACATGGAAGTTAAGTTTCAATGGACTAAGAGGAGTGACAATTCCTTGGCAGATTCATTGGCCAAACAAGGGGTGGGAAGAGTCAAATGTTTAATAAAAGTTTCTGTTATTTATCAAAAAAAAAAAGAGAAAAGTGCATTGAAAACTTTCAGGTTGTCCAATGTTTGATTGCTCCCTGATTGCATTTTGCTCACCACTGAAAAGTTGGAAGTTTATGGGTACTAGGAAGAGGCCTCAAACCTTGAGATGGATATTTCCATTGTTGTCAGGAGTGCCATTAATTAGAACGATATCAGGATAATTAGTCTCAGCATTGACTTCAACCACATCATAAGCTTCAAAGAAGGGATTTCCTGATCAAAGCAATTGCACATGAACATGACTGCTTAAGCCAAAAGAAACTGAAATACATAAGAAGGCACTTGATTTCTATAGTTGAAACGCAAATACCTAGATCATCACAGTAGCTAACAACAAGCTCAAGTTCAGCACCAACAGCAAGCTCAGCCACATGGAAAGGAAACTTCTTAGCACCTAGTCTTATTTGAGACACCTGATCAAGTGCCAGCACATAAGCTCAAGCAAAAAATGGAAATAAAGAAAATAAAAGAGAAGTCAACTATCAAAACTGTAAATATTTAAACAAGTTAAGAAAAATGAGAAAAGATATATAATGCTCCACAAGACAGAGTTTCCATTTTACAAATCCGTATCTTTCAAAAAGAACAGCAGTACTTGGACATGTGAAAAGAGAAATGAAAGAATTTTTAAGAGAATGGTACAGCACAAGAAATTTGGTACTGGAGATTCAAGGCAAGAATTGAACAGAATGTCAAAGAAGATTATTGCAACATGCAGCATAGTACAACACAAGAAATATGGAGTGGGTTCTAGGAGAAATCAATCATATAGTTGACACTGAAGCAGGGAAAGAATTGATAGAGAAATAAATCAGTTTTCTACCAAATCCATTTTTGATAGATAACTTAATTTCATTAATTCCTCTGTTTCTCTTCCCCACGAAAATATCATCACAGCTCAGCCCAAAATAAATGGTTTCTATTCACCCCTTGTTTTGTCGATTATCAACCATACTATGATACTATTGGCTAATCTTTGTATCCATTGCACCAGCACCTGCACCTGCATTCCTACCACCATTAACCACTTGAACTTTTTGATTTCACATCCATAGAGCTTTTATCTAGTTTCTGAACCATCCCACCACCATCTTAGAATCTCCTATCACAATTTCTGCCCTTGGTGAGTCCCCTTTCCCTAGTGGCCCCCAAAACAAAGTCCTTACATTGTCCTTCTCGCCTCTATAATATCCACTATACCCAAAGGTCTCGGATTCCCCATGCTACTTTTATCAAAATATAACTTGATAAATCCCTCTTCTGGTATTCATCAAAAAAAAAAAATCCCTCTTCTGGTGGTACCACAACTTATGGACATTCTCACAATTCCTTATTGAGTGGTGATTTTATAATGTATTCGTGTTTCTAGTTTTGTTCAATTTGAGTCTTTTGATATTCATCTTCTATTTTGTTAGTGTCTCAGGATAGGGTCAATCATTCTAAAGAGTCAAATTAGATAATAATCTTTTTTTTTTTCTGAAAGGTAAATATGTATTTATATTAAAAGAGGTAGAGCATCCCTCAGCCAAAAATTGTTTACAACTCTAAGTCATTTGACTATCTACCACAAGTGTTACTTACATCATTGTGAAATACTAGCTCTTAGAATTCTGCAAAGTTGAAGATGAAATCATGCCATTTTTGCTTTGACCTATTTTTTAGGGTTCAAAATTTGTCATTTTTGCATGTATTTGGTGTCATTAGATAGGCAATACAACAAGTGAGGTTTTGAGGAGGTCAGGGAGGAAAGGAGTGGTTTGTAAGCTTGATTTAGAAGAAGCATATGATATGGGGGGTTGGTCCTTCTTGGGGGAGGTGATGGTTTGCTTTGGGTTTGGGGAAAGATAGTGCAAATGGGTGATGGGATGTTTAAAGAGATGTCGATACTATATATTGGTGAATGGAACAATAGTGGATTTTTTCACGGGCTTGAGGGGTATTAGACAAGGAGACCCTCTCTCTCCTTTCCTATTCACCTTAGTAGCAAATGTATTGGGGAAATTGATATCTAGAGCAGACTCAAGAAACCTAATAAGAGGGTGGAGTTGATAGGGATGGGGTACCAATCACTAACCTACAATTTGCTGATGATACGGTCCTCTTTTGTGATGGAGGTGACTTGGGATGGACTAGAAATCTCAAAATTGCAGTGCAACTATTTGAACAAATGTCATATTAAAAGGTGAATTTTGAGAAAAGTTGCATAGCTGGAATCAATATGAGGGAGGGGAAGGTGTTAGAGAGTGTCGAAATTTTGGGTTGTGTGGTTTCTAGTTGGCTTCTCAAATACTTGGGTCTCCCACTAGGTGATAACCCTAGGAAAGAGAGTTTTTGAAACCTGGTGGTGGAAAGATTTGAAAAGAGACAGCCTCTTGGAAACAAAATTATTTATCCTTGGGAGGGAGAGTCACCCTAATTAGATCCACTCTAACTAATTTACCCGTGTATTTCTTGTCAGTATGTAAATTCCAAATGGGACGGCTAGAAAGTTGAAGAATCTAATAAGGGATTTTTGTGGGAACTGGAGAGGGAAAAAAGGATCATAGAGTTAGGTGGGAAGTGGTGTAGAAGCAAAAAGATTGAAGGTTGGGAATTGGGAATGTGCGGAAATGGAATTTGGCTCTTATAGGGAAATGGCTTTGGAGACTTCCTAATGAGATAGAAAAGTTGTGGCCTAAGGTAGTGGTGAGTATCCATGGGCTAGGGACAAATGGTTGGGAAACTAGAATTAAAGCAAGGACTACAAGAGCATCCCTGTGGAAATCTATCCAAGCCATCCTCCCCTTATTCTTGCTTAGATCAGGCAGTGATTTAAAAGGCGCACCTAGGCGCATAGGTGAGGCGCATTTTAGGGTAGGCGCCTCGCCCAAGTCCTAGGTGCACCCCATTCAAAAGGCGCACGCCTGGTGCGCCTTGCACCTTAGCCCAGGTGTGTGCCTTTTGGAAATTTGCCGCTTTTACCTTTTTTTCGAGTCTGGCTGTTGGGCCGAGGGCTCCGCCCCCGAACCCCCGTGCCATGCCCCTCAAGGCCAGCCCAAACAAGTCCATGTTAGGGTCTTAAATTCTTCGTTTTCACACAAAAAATAATAATTTTATAGTTTTAATTGCTTTTAAGAAGATATTTTATTAGGATGAATGAATGGACAACATTACCAAATAGGGGATTCTCATAAGCTCCGGTTTAAGACCCTAACATGGACTTGTTTGGGCTAGCCTCGAGGGGCGTGGCACAAAGGCGGCTCATAGAATTAGGAATGTAATATGTCACATTAGCTACTTGATGCAATTAAGAGAAAAAAAGAGATTGTGGGTTTTATATGTTTGATTTCATTTTTAAATTCTCATTTGAATATGATTTACATATTATAGTTATGTATTTTAATTTTAGATAATAGGCTTTTTAAAACATTTATTTTAAAACTTAAGTTTATATTTTTATTAATATTATGTTTTATGAATTTATGATTTTTTTTTTATTTTTTAGCTTTTTTTTTAAATTGTGCACCTTGCTTCAAAAAGGTGTGCGCCTCACCTTGCGCCTTGCGCTTTTAAAACACTGGGATCAAGTATGACTTACACTCTAGGAACTGTATTAAGTTTTGGGTTGGGGATTCCCCATTAAGGGATCAATTCCTTCCTTGCTTGCCTTGTCTAATCACAAGAATGAGCCTATTTCTACCTTTTTGGTTCCTACCAACTCGAGTACTGGGTTTTTGGTTTGAGAAGGGCTATTAGGGATTCTGAGTTAAATAGTACTATGTCCCTTATGGGAATTCTGGATGGGGTATATTTGGACCCTTCTCAATCTGATAAAAGAAACTAGACCTCTACCCTTGATGGTCTGTTCACTTGTTCATCTTTTTTCAAAACCCTAACCTAACCATCCGCTAATGAGGGCCTGTCTTTCCCTGTTAAAGAGGTGTGGAGTAAACCTATCCCACCCAGGATTGGGAGTTTTTGCTAGGAAGCATATCTGGAAAGAATCTACACATGTGACTTGCTTCAAAGAAAAAGACCTAAGAGTTGTTTGTCCCCTTATTGGTGTATTCTTTGTAAGGTTGATGGTGAGAATTGCTACCACTAATTAATCTCTTGCATATTTGTTAAAGGTTTATGGGAAGGGTTTGTTTCTTTGTTTGGATGCAAATGGACTCCACCATATGTGCAAAGCTTGTTTGCTCCTACTTTCTTCAGTTTCCCAAAGAAAAGGGGAAGACTAATGTGGAGATGTGTAAGGGCTGCCATTAGCTGGACCAATTGGGAAGAAAGTAATTCAAGAATATTCACAGGGAAGGAGAGAAGCAAGGAAGCTATCCAGGAGGTGATTTTTATCAGGGTAGGACACTGGCTTAAATCTATGGAGTTATTCAACAATGTGTTGATGGATGGACTGTCAAGAAAGTGGAAATAAGTTGCTTATTCAGCTCTGGGTCAGGAGGTCTCAGTTCCAGTTTGGTCCACACCCCCCCCCCCCAAGCAGCTTCTTCAAGATGAATTTTGATTGAAGCAGTATTGGTAACGTGGGGCCTTCAGGTACTGGGGGTGTTTTAAGGGATGAGAAAGGGAAAGTAATTGCCTTGTTCTCAGATCCAATTGAAGCAGGTGACTCCCTTAGAGCTGAGATGTTGGTGGCAATTGGAAGGTGTACTGGTGTACAGAGTGCCAAGGAGTTAAATATAAGGAAGCTGATTATAGAAGGAGACTCAAAAGTTCCAAACTGGTGGTGAGCTGGTTGAAAGAAGACAAAAATGATCCGTGGACTTACAGAAATGAAAAGAAAAAATTCAAGTGGCTGACAAAAGACATGGAGGTAAAAGTGAATTGGGTCAAGAGACGTGCCAATTCTTTTGCTGATGGTTTAGCAAAACAGGGGGTGAACAAGGGTGCTTTGTTTTGCTCTAAATTGAAATTTTCTGTTCTGTTTGTTTCATGTCGGGGGAGATAAGAGAGGTTATCTATTCCCATTGTATCCTTAATTTCTTCAATGAAATCTTCTGTTATTGTCAAAAAAAAATCATTCTGTTATTGATCAAAAAAAAATATATACAAGTGAATTATAATTGTTTCACTGATGGAAAGAAGACTCTAAACTTGGATGGGAGTTCTAGGTAGTCCAGGGTTAGCTGGCATTGGAGGCACAGTAAGGGATGAAAAGGGGCAACATATGCTGGACTTTCAGTGGTCCAATTGGATTGGCTGACTCCACAAAGGCTGAGGTGATGGCTGCTCTCACTTGAATCAGAATAGTAAAAAATCTGGGAATTCAGAACCTAACCATTACTGGTGACTCAGCAAATACCATAAAGTGGCTAAGAAACAAGGAGGGGGAACCTTGGAGACTGAGCCACTATTTGGCAGAGGCTAGGGACTCTTTCGACTGCTTAAATGCTACTTTAGTTTGGATTCCAAGGGAACAAAATCATACAGCAGATGGCTTAGCCAAGTGTGGGGTGTTTTTGGATCATTTGTTTAGTAACAAGCTTCCTCCTCTGTAATCTCTTGGGGATCCTCCCCTTTTCTTTTATAATTGTTTCACTGGTAGTGCCAACCTGTGATGGGGTTTCAGTCTGTCTTCTTGGTCTCTCTTAGATTTATGTTTGGCTTGTTTGGTTTTAGTAGGATTGGTAATGAATCACTAGAGTTGTTTTAGGAGTTGACTGTTTCTATAGGTTACTTATGGGTTTGCTTCCGTTCTAAGGCAGGTAGGATGCATCTGGTCAGTTTTTTGGTCCAATCCTTAAGTTTAGCCTACAGAGTCATTCTAATTAGAATTTTAAAGTTGAGCAAATGGAATAAAAGTTTGTTTTGAAGTTACTTGCACATAAGAGTGTGATTCTCTCTTTCTCTAAAAGTGCATTCTTTCTTCACCAATCAAAAAAGAAAAGTTCAATCTTTCTTCATCAATCAAAAAAGAAAAGTTCAATCTTTCTTCATCAATCAAAAAAGAAAAGTTCAATCTTTCTTCATCAATCAAAAAAGAAAAGTTCAATGTTTCTTCTTTTTCTTCCCTATATCAAATATATATTTCTCTCATGGTTCAGATCCTTAATTCCCTTTCTTTACCTACCATATACACCCCAGTAGAACGTTCCCCTTCCTTCCCTATATCAACCTACTTAATGAATGGTACACGATCTAAAATTGACATGAAAGCTCCAGTAAGATCCAGGAGAAATCCATGTCATGGCAATCATTTGCTCATGGAACTATACCCCCTGTTCAGTGCAGCCCAAAATAAGGGTGATGTGGTCACAAAAAGCTTCAGCAGCCATAAGAAGTGATGTGGAATCCAAGATTGAGAAATAACTTAAATGTTTGGCAAATAGAAACCATGACAGAGTAAGTGCAGAAGATTAAAAGCCAGAAACCAGAACTGGATAAAAAGATAGAATATGGGCCTGAAACCCCCTGGAGTCATTCTCATCCCACTCATTTTTTTCAGAAACCTAAGCTCTTGCTCCACTGGGTCTTAACCAAGCTCCAAGGCAGGGTGCCCTCAATGTGCATTTAGATGTGGCTATTTTTGGTATTGTCACCTTGTCAGAAACTCTTAGGTAATGCCTAACCATAAATATCAATAAAAGGGGAATATATCAGGATAATGAAGAGTATGTTCTCTTTCCAACATAAGAAAATCAGAAAATCATATTTTCCTAATCTGTCAACTCGCCTTCCTGCCATGGTCTAATTTTTGGGAATTTTTAGGTTGGGATGTTATTTCTCAGGCTCTCTAGAAGAATTTTTCCACAGCCAGCATATATATGGTTTGCGCCAAAAGGGCATAATGCTGTTTTCTGTGGGTTGAACTATTGGAGCTAGAGAAATCCATGTATCTTTGTGAACAAGACAAGCACAGAGATGTAGTAAAATGGAAGGCCTGGGGGACTTTAAGATCATGGTGACATACAGGAATGTTCCTCAATCCTCTTCTTTTGATTGTTATAGCTTGTTTACAAATAGAAATGCACAATTGAAATTGTCTCTTGACTCTTCACTGTGTATATTCCCAAAGTACAGAGCTTTGGTGTACATTATATTACAATTTTTATACTGCTTGATACAATTCTTTACTTTAAACAGAAAAAAAAGAACTGCACGTGTAACTTTATCCATGCAACTTCTATGTCTTTCACTTTAACGGATGCCTCTTACCAGCACCGAATATGAAGGATGACTCCTGGAATAGAAAATGATACTACACATTATCAATTTGATAACCATCAAAAAAAAAAAAACACTGCAATAGAAAATGATTATCCAGTTTCTATTGCATTCTTGAGCCACACCAACCATCCAAGATTTTCCTCTGCTTATTCTAGTTTTCTGTCACTATGTTCATCAATCATAAGTATGACCAGATTTTCGGCAAAAAAAGGGATAGTTTTTTTCTCTCTAGAGACAGGTACTACAGTATTCTTTTACTTGCCAAATCTAAAGCTTACATCTATGTGTGCACTTTAAAATTCTGTTAGCCTGTTCTGTAGGACCAAAAATTGCTCTAGTTTTCTAGGGTACTGAAATGCAAACAACCAAATATTTTAAGAGCAGTTTAACATGATATCAGAACAATGGCTGATGTGAAGGTGTTGATGGTGTTTTCTGGTCTTATATAAGATCACTAAAGCATATTGAATTTTATTCAAATTAGAGAATTAGTAGCATAACTTGATAAATTCATACCTCTGCAACCCTTACACATGATGCAATCTCAACTATCCCAGTTGAACGATCTTTTGCCTGAATGCAATCAATATCATTGCTCTCCATTGTCTTTATTCTATCACCATCTAGAGAAATAGCCTTCTGTTGCATCTCTTCATTTTTACCGCCACATGTTTTCAATAGAGAATAAATAATAGGCCCTTTACGACTATGAGAATCCCGATGACTGTATGATTCGGTCGATCCAGGCAAAAGATTTGAGGTAGTATAAAAAGGAGGAAGGACCCAAGTCATTGACTTTCCAAGAGCAAGAGGAGGATCAGACACCACCCACACTAATGCAGATGCATTATATGATCTTGATTGTGAAAATGCACCAGAAGAAAATTTACAGGAGAATGAAACAGCAACATTTGTTTTGCCAGCAGACCTGGTATGCAGAGATTCACATTAGGGAAACAAGTTATCAATATTAAAAAAGATAAATGAAGTATTATAAAAAAAACAGATATTGCAAACAGAAAAATGTGTCACAAATAAGTATTAGACACCTACAGGTCTCACACACTGCACTGGCAAGATAAGAAACATATTCTATGCAATACAAATCTTGAGTAGCAAAAATTGATGGTTATAGCAAAAGCATAAGCATAATGGAAAAACATATTCAAAATTAAAATGAAAACAATAGTAACTTTGATAATGTATTGCACATTGGACAAATATTACAAAGAAAAATGACTGCTTTTCTTTAACAATATATAAGTACTTGAAAGTTCAGGTGTTCTGTGTTCACTCAAAAGTTAACTGGAGAATAATAAGAGATGGATCTGCCAATTTCCCAACCACATCATGAAATTAGGATCAGCTAAGATGATTGTAGTGTTTGGTCCTCCCACCCAAATTGAGGAGACAGTTTCATATTCTTCTCCGTGCTTCTGATTTCACATTTAGTGCATGCTTTTTATAACATAAAAAGCAATTAAAACATACCTTCCATGTAATACATTGATGGGATTGAGTTCTTTGTTATCTGAATAACTGGAAGACATAATTCCCCTCAAACCAGATAATAGAACATCATACTTCTCACCATATGAGCACTTGGCCACTTGGAAGCTCAACACCTAACATAGACAATTATTTTATGCAAACAACATAAAAAAACAAGAATGCAACAAAATGGCAATAAGAATAAGTACAGGAAAATTCATTCGACCTGTTCATCTTCTACAGTCCACTTGTAATTGTTGCATAGCTCATAGAAGGAAAACAAATTTCCCTAAGGCATATATTTGAGTTAGCTGAAGATGTAAAGATGAAAGAAACCAAATAATAAATAAGCTATAAACTTCTTTCTGGCACTTGCCTCTGGTAATGAAGGGAATACTGGCATTTCACGACCAACACCAATCTGTTGACTCTGTAAATTCAAAATCATGGAAGAAGGGATCCCTACTTCAACTTTCCCCTTGGCTTGACAAATCACACTATCTCCAGCCCCATACATTGTTGCCAGTACGGTCTGATCATGAGAAAGAACATACAAAAAAATTCTAGATTTTAATGTATAAAATATGTTACAATGCTAAGCTGATTAGGAATAAAGGGAAAAGAGCATCAGTTTTAAATGATAGAAGAGAAGAAACAAGAACCCTAGAAATTCATCAAAAAAAAAAGAAAAGAAAAGAAACAAGAACCCTAGAAGTGAAAGCAAACAGAAGAAATAAAAAAGAGGCATCTTATCCACATCTTAAATGCTTGTATGCTGTGTATCATTTTTTATTAGTTATATACTATGTATAATTATCATAAACATGAAATGAGTACCAGACCCAGAAAAATAAGAGAAAGATGCACTGGCAGCATTTCCCAGCATAATATACCAATTTGCAAAGAAATCAAGATATAGTCCAAGAAAGACTTTTAAGCAGTGTTGCATAGGGGTGAGCATTTGGTTTAGTCGAAAATAACCAAAATTATTAGAGGGAAAGCCGAAACCAAAACCAAAACCAAAACCAAAACCGAATTTCTTATTTTGTTATTTCTGTTAAAACTGAATTTCATTATATATATTGAATATATTACATATATTTTATAATGTTAATTATATTATCTCGCAATGAAATTTTCTCAGTTAATACAAATTTATATTTTACTTTTCTAAAAAAATGAAATTCAGTTAATTCAGTTTTTTCATTAACTGAATTGTCAAATCTGAAAACCTAAACTGATAACTGAAATACCCTAAAACTGAATTGACTGAACCAAAATAACCGAACTGAAAACCAAAACCAAAATTTCTGGTTTGGTTTTTCGGTTTTAACCAAATAATGCTCACCCCTAGTGTCGAATGGACATGACACAAGAATCAGAACCCTACATGTCTCAGGGAGTCTCACTTTGGAAGAAAAAACAAGGACCAGAGGACATGTCTATAGAAAGTATAAACCATTAAAATAATCCATTTTTTGAATTTTAACATTATATGCCTATAAAAAAGGCCTAAAACTTCTTTGTCACTTAATGGTTTCTTGAAAAAATGGTACACATTGTCAAGAATGGAGGATAAAAACATTGTCAAGATTTGAACCATATTGCATTAGATTTACCAGTTGAATACTTCTTTAAGCAACAGTTAATATTTTATTTAACATGTATTAAAAAAATGGTGTACAAACAGTAATCTACCAAGCACTGGCCTAGCCCCCATCAGCCTTCTCTCTGATTTTCTTTTATATATTCCTATCCTCAAAAGCTAAGATGGATGAATGGAAAACAAGAAAGGATAGGATTAGGAATGAAGTTATCTGTATGAACTTAGGAGTAGCTCCAATAGGCGATAAAATGAGAGAGAATAGATTAAGATGGTTTGGGCACGTGCATAGAAGACCACCAACCATGCCAGTTATAACAAGTGATCTGTTGCACATTGAAGGGGCTAGAAGAGCTTGGGGTAAACAAAAAAGGACATGGGTAGAAGTAGTAAGAAATGATTTAAGCACTAATAGTTTAACAGTGGATATGGCTTTAAATATAACAGATTGGCAAAACAGGATTCATGTAGCTGACCCCATATAGTTGGGATAAGGCATGGATGATGATGATGATATTCTTATCCTGTTGGCAGATCTTTCTTAGTTCTGTAGTTAGGTGTTCAATTTCCCACATGATCTATCTATATTTCCAAGATCCCATATTGTGTTTTTTAAGACGGCCCAAAATTGTATTAGAGTTCCCTGTCACCACTAGATCGCTGTACCTTGGATGTTTAGCGAGTCTCAGCCCATTTAGAACTGTCCTTAAGTTTAATCACCATAGACAATGGGTCTAGAAGACAAAGCTAGTATCTCCCCATCACAATTTCTAAATACCCCCCTATAACCAAAATTCCAGGGTTCCCCAAGCTACACCCATCAAAGTACAGTTTGATGATATTAGAAATCAGAGGAGACCAATAAGAAATAGAATAAATTTTTGTCGAGGAGTTAACCCCACATAAGTATTAGATATGATTCCTTGACACTAATATATCTACAAAGGGTGGAGGATGCAGGGGTTAAACAAAAGAGGAAGACTGTTACTATACAAGTGATAATTACAGACAGTGGGGGGAGGAGGAAGAGAAACTCAAGAATTTTTGAAAACAAGAATTCTTCCACCCTAATTAATGGTAATATTTCTTGGAACTTGGGGTTGAGGAGGGGGTAACATGAAAGAGGAGGTTGTTGAATCAGTGGGCCTTGTTCCTAACCTAGAGTTTGTTTTTCTTCCTTTTTTAGGGGTGGATAAAAGGGTGTTGTTTCCTTGTTATAATGGCATTTTTTTGTTTCTTCTTTCACCAAGCTGCTAGACCACTCTAATATCCATCCCCTTTTCCTTGGAAAGCTTTATGGGTTTTGACTTCTTCCCCAAAAGTCAAGGTATTTCGTTGGGCAACCTCTTGCCAAATCATCAATACTTGTATAGATGCCAAAGGAAAAGGAAAACATGGTTTTTATCCCTACATGTGTGTTCTTTGCATCAAGAGTGGACAATACACTATTCATCTATTCGCTTCTTGTCATTACTGTAGAGAGGATGGGCCGAATGGCCGCCCATAGACTGTTTACTTATTTCTTTTGTTTATGTTCTTTGCTGTAATGGGCCTCAACATGGCCCTTACTTATGTTATGTTTTCTTTAAATTATTCGCCCAGTTAAGGGCCTCTCTGTAATTACTGAAAATTAAGTTAATGAAAAAGGATTAGGGTGTAAGAGAGGATTACATTCGAAAATCTCTCTCTGAACCCTTATTGCTGCCATCTTCTTCTTCCTCTTCTCTCTACTTACTTCGCTCTTCTGCTGTTCTCTATCATCTTTTTTGCTATTTTTTATTAGTCCATTTGTTTCAAAAGACTGCTTTCTTCTTGGTATTAGAGCAAGCTCTCATTTTCTACTTTTTCCCCTTTTTCTTCCCATACACAGTGTGTATGGAGAACTGAATTGAATGAGTAGTTAAAAAAAATTTTTCTCAACCCAGTTGTTAGTGGTTTTTGGAGAGGAGGCTGTCCTTGTCGTCACTTTGACAGTCTCAGGTGTGTTGCCCAAAACCCTAATTAACTGGACAAATCTGCTTGGGGGCCCCATAGGGAGTTTGACCTTCATCTTGGCGCTCAGTGATTGAATGGCTTCTTGTTCTTCATCTTGAAGATCAATTAAGTAGCTTAGTGTTCTATTAAGTCTACAAGGTGCGGCTAGGTTTTTTCTGTTTCTCCCGGGTTCCAGGTGTAACGCAGTTAACAGGTACGGCTGCATAGAGGTTGATTCACAACATATATTTTTTCCTGTCTTCCTTGATTGTTAATTGAAGTTGTTAGAAGTTATTCTGGAGTGTTTTTAAGAAGATGGATCCTTTGGAAGTTGAAAACAAGCATGTTGCTGAATCTGGACATGTTCCGAGGGCCTCTGTTGACTCTCTATTGGCTGTGACCACAGTCGAGCTAGATGGAGCCAACTATCTGGCATGGTCACAATTAGTAAAAATTCATGTCTGCAGTAGAGGCAAGTGGGGGTATATCTCTAGGCACAAGAAGGCTCCCTCGGAAGATGATCCATATTATGAAAAATGGATGCAAGAAAATTACACTGTAATCGGATGGTTAGTAAATTCGATACAACCTCAAATCAGTCAACACTATTTATGGATGAATTCAGCAAAAGAAATATGGAACAATGTTGCTGAAACCTATTCTCAGAAACTGAATGTAGCCAGGGCATATAAGCTGAGGAGTGATGTGAAAAATTTAAGGCAGGGGGAGAGACCTTTGGCCATTTATTTCACAATGCTAAAATCTCTTTGGCAAGAAATTGACTTGATGGAAACTATTGTCTAGGAAAGTACTAATGATGCTGAAACCTACAGAAAATTATTTGAGACAAACAGGGTTTTTGAATTCTTGACGGGGTTGAATCCCGAGTATGACATCACAAAACAGAACATCTTATCCAAGGATAGTGTTTCATTGTCTTAGGCCTATGCCTTGGCGAGTAGTGAAGAAAGCAGGAGACTAGTCCAGGTTCAAGGGGCTGGTCTAAATGAACACTTTGCTAATGGGGCTGAAACCAAAGGGAACTAAAGGAAGTCCAGGTGGTTCAGGAAAGAAGGAAGTTATTTATGACTACTGTAAGAAACCAAAACATACAAAAGACAAGTGTTGGAAACTGCATCTGGAGCTTCTTCCTCCTCATTTCCAAAAGAAGGCTAATAATGTGAAGACTGGAAGTGCCAACATTGCTACTGGTCCAAATAATTACAGGTACTTAATCAATGAGAGAACTACTAGTGAATAGTTAGCAGTTATGAAGGTAGAATATGAGAAGTATGGAAGGATGATCAATCACCTTGAGAGTGTTGTCTCTTCTTCCAACCCTCCGGGAAATTCAACTTCTTCTGCATTTGCTCATTCAGGTATAAGGGCCACTGCCAATCATGCAACTATCTCAGATAATCGTAGGATCCCTTGGATTATTGATTCTAGAGCTTCTGATCATATGACCAACCTTTCCACTTTGTTTATTTCTTATGATTTGCTTCCTGGTCGGGATAAGATCACCTTAGTCGATGGCTCTCTTGCTCCTATCTCTGCCAAGGGAACCATCAAGGCTATAGACTCTCTTTTACTTCCTTCTACTCTTCATGTGCCCAAATTGAATACAAATTTGTTATCTACAAGTAGTCTAACTAAGTCTTTGAATTGCAGTGCAACCTTTTTTCCTTCCTATTGTGTCTTTCAGGATCTGGAGTCCCAAAAAGTGATTGGGAGTGGCCATGAGGCGAATGGAATATATTTGTTGGATACTCCTAGACAGTGTCAAGGCCAACCTGGGAAAGCTACTTTTGGATCTACATCTTCAGAGTTGTCAGTCATGTGATGTTATGTCATTTTTGCTTGGGTCATCTTTCTTTTTCTGCATTGAGTCATTTATTCCCAGAACTATTTAAGGGAATTAATTTGTCTAGTCTTCATTGTGAGTTGTCAAAACA